GGGCATTGCCTTAGAAGAACCTCGGCAACTATCTTAGTTGATAATGGTGGAGACATTACAACCCTAAAGCGACATGGTGGATGGAAATCTACCAGCGTCGCTGAAGGATACATTGAAGATTCTGTAAACAATAAGAAACAGATAGCGATGAAAATATTAAACCCATTAGAGTATAATGAACCAAGTACATCAAGCGAAACTGTAAATATTGATCCTGAAAATAATTTAATCGAAGACTTTTCTGTTAATAATGGTACAATTGTTAACACTGAAACTGAGAACCTTATTACAAGTAACGTATTCAACGACAGAACTGTAAACTTTGAAAAAAAGACAGCCAGCAGCGCTTTAAATATCAACAACTGTACCATACAAAATTGCACATTTAATATTCATGTTAATAAATAAAGTTTGATGATAGACATGTAGGTAATTTAGATGTTTATTCGTTTAATTCAAATTAAAGAAAAATAATTGTTACATTTGTTTTTTTATTCATGAATAAAGTGGTTAAAACTGTCATGTTTAATTAATCAATAAAATGTATAAAATGTATAAAATAAATAGTATTACCTACCTACTGATTTTATTTTGTGCTGAGATTGAACATCGCGTTATCCGCTATAAATTTTCAAAATTAGTAATTTTTTATATTCACGCTTGAAGAAAAAATAGTATATGTCACTCGGAGTGGAAGGCTCATTATGTGTTTTGCCCAATTTGCTCAGCCTCGGCTAACGCCTCGGCGAGCAAACTTTTGGGCTCAACACATAATGATCGCCTTCTACTCCTAGTAACATAATATACTATTTCGTTAAATTAAAAATGTCTTGTTAGTTTGAAAATGAATGTAAAAAATAAAAAAAAATGTGACGAGTAAAATAAAAAAAACTTTTGATGATTTCCGAATTTTTTAAGAACAAAACGTCAAATTTGACAGATCACATGATTTGGCATTATTTTTTTAGGTCAACAACAAATTAAATTGTTCAAAAATCTATTTGAAATAAATGCTCATTTGGATTATCAATTTAATTTGAACGAAATTAAAAAAAGGTTTATATACTGGGTGTCCCAAAAAAATTTTTAGACATTTTTTTATTTTTTTTATATGAATTCAGTAATAAATTGTAAAAGCCTGGTCTTTGAGTAGAAAGCGGAAATATTCAATGAAAAATAAGAATATATTAAATAAAAATGGTTCTGTCTTGGCATTTTTCGCAAAACTAAAATATTTGTTTTTATTCTTCGCTCAATATTCCTGACTTTGAAGTGATCAGTGAAGTTAATATAATAATAGTAATTAAAGAAATGTAAATTTTTAATAGTAATAGTTATCCAAAAGTGATTTTGGAAATATATTTTATATACCTACTGGCATAGGCACTCCTGCAGGAAGAAATCTATCTAAACTGTGAACTGGAATAATGAAGCAGTCCCTGTCTAGTCCAGATAACGTCCGTGCTGTCTCTCCGTTATTCCCATCGTTTCCATAATTAAAGCTAACCTAAAAAATAATAAACATAATAAAAAATAAACGCAATGGCAATTTGAGGTACAACTTCTCTGTTTGTTTCAAAATTGCCGACGTAATTATTCCATTATGTGGGAATAATCATACTTAGTAGAGAAGTTGTACCTTAAATTACCTCTAAACCTGAAAAAAAATCTGCTAAATATTATTGGATGTTAATGTGCGTACAAAAATATAATAATATGGGGCGATAAAAACTGTGAAAATCTCGAAAAAAAAACTTTGCACATAAGTACAGAGTTGTAACCATTTCATAACTTTTTGTTCTATTTTTTTGCAAAAAAATATAAATTAATTTCGATTTACTACAATAGATTACGTAGTTTGTGAAAATTTTCATTCCTTTTCCACTAATATTTATTATTGTCTAGCATTTAATTCGAAAATTGACCATGTTTCGAATCTAATACCAATAAGGCATTAACTAGGTCGCTACAGGCATCCAGATGGCATCGGTTAATAATAATCGAAATATTGACACCAGCCACAAACCGCTTCAAATGCACGCAGCCAGAATAGATAATATTTAGAGAACCCGGTATCGTTGACAGAGCGACCACCGAAAACCGTTGTGGGACGCCCAAAGAAACGACTAAGTTTCGAATTTTTCCGAGAAACGGCACGAAATTTGAGCTGCTTTACATAAATTTAAGATTTCAGCTGGATCCCATATCAGGGCGAGATGACGCTAAACATCCCGAATAATCCAAAGAGGACTTGGGTTTCCCCGAATAAATAACCATGACCAAGTTCCAAACCAAAAGGAATACGACCCCAACTATTCACTAGCATTGTATTGTATGCGTTTAACTGTTTATTCAAAAAACATACATTATTAATCAAATGTTACAAATAAACTTTTTATAATCAATAATAAAATTGTTATAAATTGTTCCGAGTTCCGATCAATATAGTATCTAAATTGCACAGGATCAACTATGGTGCTCTTTAACCGTAAACAACCCAAAAACATGAAAGAACATGAAAAGTGACAAAGCACAAAATATGAACAAAACAGTGAGAAAAGGCCTCAAAGCTTCTGTGCAAAGTGCCATTGGGAGGGTGTACTATACAAGGTATTGTAGGCAACAAAAAGAACGTGTCCTAATTTATAGAACATCAACATCAGGTCTTCATTCCAATCCAAGATTGACCTAGAGGTAATCGCAATGGAAAGATGCCTATCAGCGAGAGACTCCAATGAACGGTCAATCCACGAGTAGTCTGGCGTGTTGTTGCAGGACCTACTGAAAGAAGGACCAACAGAAAGGACGGAGTATGACAATAATAAGATCAGTGCATTTTTCTTGCAACTTTGAAGACAAATACTCAATCGTTTCTTCGTTTCTATGATTCCGATAGGCATAAACAATTTCAGCTCACGATTCGTCAACAAAGTGAGAGATATTGGTATTTTATTGCGAATAAACTCAGCCTACACTTAAGCGACTACCCGCTACCATTGGCACCATTAACTTAACAACATAATAAAACATGACAGAATTGCAAATGTAAATATAATACCTTTCTTAGTTCTTAGTTTTGGATCCTCTATGTTTTGCTCGGCATTATCCTTTACTAAAACGTTCGTCATATCTTCGAAAATTAAAAGAGTCAGACAGCTTAATAAATGGTTTAATACATTCCCTCTAGTACATTAAGATAAATTAGATAAGGCACAGAGAAAAATGTAGATAAAAATAACAAGATAATAATAAAAAAAAACTAGGTATTGTACTAGGTTGGGCTAAATTACTCTTATGGGTCAACATTATCATATTGGGATTGTCACGATGGGTAAATATTGACATATTGTTAACTTCTACATCTACATGGTTTTATTCGTAGTTACGTTTTCTTCGAAATACACCAAAAAATTTCCAGAATATTTATTCTGGATATACGGGATCATAATAAAGAACAATAATTATTACGTATCTGCCATAAATAACAAATTTTGATCAAACAAACACTTATCACTTATCATGAGAATTACATCATTTGTTGTGAAAGTTTTTTGTTGGTTATACATAGGCTGTTTTGATTAACGATGTCATAAATCTTGGAACTATAACATAAACAATAATACTTATTAAGATTTTTTTTCTATAGAAGCAAGAAATAAAAAAATCATAGTTTTGAACCATTTTCTCTTTCTGATTTAATCTGACTTGCCAAACATTTCTCAGACATAAATAAATGCCGTATCATGTGGATGGTGCATATCGACACATTCGAAACCAAACATGTTTTCACTTCACTTGTTAAATATTCGTCAAAGCTATACATATGGTACATCAACAAAATGTAGACAGTATCTGCTGCAACGGCCATATCCGTAAAGGGCAAATTACACATCACTCATAAACGGTTTTAGTCCAGTCGGCAGAGGCCGAAAAGTTACTGTTGGTGACATTTCCTTGATAACTCGGGAATAACTACACAGGAATACTTTAAATGATGAGTACAATAATAGGCTAATTTGCTGACAAAGTATTTTATCAGGAAAAAAAGTTTTTTCTTTGATGACCCGATGATTGTCTCTGCCTCAAATCCCACACTTTTGCTTGTTCACATACCCACTAAGATGGAAATGCACCTCGTCGGTAAATATGATTTTCTTAGCAAAATCACCGTCCACTTGGTGATTCTCCAATATCCAATCAAGGAATGTCGGGCGCATTAAATGGTCGTCTGGTTTCAATTTCAGGGTTAGCTGAATGTTGAATGGATGCGGATACAAATCTTTTGTTAAAATCAGCTCCATTGTGGGCTACGTCACTTTTGGGACACCCTTTATATTTTTGAAAAATAAAGACGATTATTATAATACATTTTTATCATTAGTAGTCAATTGTAAGGATTACGACCATTATTATTAATATTATTGTATAAAATTTTCTTCTGGAAAGTATGTCCAAAAAATGCTATCATAGAACTTGGAGCAACATTATTCTAAAAAAATCTGTACCTAAATATAATTATATCAATTGACTTTTGAAACTCTTCAGTGTCGGACTCTAAGTAAATATGAAATGAAGTTCGTATTTGCTTGGGAAATTTTTAAAGAATCATTCAGGTTGTGGCACGAATTGCTGTTATAACATCGCATGCTTCACGACATTGTAGCATGAATTACTGTTACAAGAAGGTATATGCTTATTAATTTATTTTAAGAATATACGTATTTTTATAAATGTTTCATTCATGTTAGTGTAAAGGTGACTCATTAAATTCCTTGTTTTATTTTGCTATTCTAGGGGAACAACAATCAAGGCTAATAAGTAAAAAAATAGGAGTTATATAACGAAAATTATGCTCCTCACTAAGAGCGTCATTCAAATAATAAAAATAATATATGACTGAGTGATAAATATCAAGCCAAGCTTGCCCCCTTTCAATAAAAATAAATTAAAAGAACACCTTACTAAAAATGTCATACAAAAATTTAAAATTAAAGCTTACTACCAAATATACTTTTAATAGCAAAAATGTTAAAAGGTGAAATCAAATTCAAGTATGTATAATATTAAAAAAGTTAATTTGAAATGCCGCTGAAATAATCTAAAAACATAGCAGAGTACATATGGATCTAATAGCAAAAATATAAAAAAGTAAAACTTACAGACAAAATATAATAGAATATAATATTATAGATATACAGGGTGTTTTCACTTTAAATTTGGAAAATGCAGGAATGTATTCCCTATCCAAAATTAAGTGTAGTTTGCTCTATAATTTTTTTTATGAAAGCCTTTGTTTTGGAGATACAGGGCGTTGAAGTTAAAAAAAAATAAACACTTTTTGACATATCTCGGCTATCCACGAGTAGATTTGATTCAAACTTGGTACACATTTTGCGTATTGGGGGTTCTCATAATTAACAGAATATTAGTCCTATCGGATTAGCCAGTGGCGTGCAAAGGTAGGGATGCGTGGCACCTTTTTCAAAAAAAAGTACGCCATTGAGTTTTTCGAAGAATGTAAAGTAAATTTAAATACTACCATACAAAAGTACTCTAAAAGGTCTCTTGGTATTTTTCGATAATACGCAGCGTTCATGAGATTCTTGGACTATTAAGA